TATCTACCAGTTTGTGAGACATCATATCATAGCATGAAGGTTTGGTTTCTATTGGGTCAGCCCCAACCAAGAATATTGAACATTTAACTTGATAATTACAAAATTCTAAGTTAGATTTCACGTAAGAATTTTTTTTATTGTTTTTTTCGGTTTTAGTATGTTAGTTATAGTTATTGACTATTTTAGTTGGCTTCACCTTGAGATGATTTATATCATTGTGGTGGTCCTTTATTAGCCCGCTTGATTTGAGTCGGTCAACTATAAATAATTTAGACTGATTTACTTTATTATGACTTTTTTTCAACTAGGTCACAACTTCATCTAAATTTGGTATACCGGCTTCTTTATAATCAGTTATGAATAACTCAAATTGTTTTACATCCTTATAATTATTTACTGATTAAAGTCATAAAATAATATTTCACTTAAAACTCATTTATTTTTTTTATAATGGTTATTTAATTAGTGACTATAAACTTTCTTGTAAATAAATGATTTGGTTTCATTTTTAATCCCTACTTAGATAACAATTGGAAAATGCATTTAAGGCACAATATTTTTTATTATTTAAATAAGCAATCCTTATCCTCTACGGAAAGTATGTTAATTAAAAATGTTCCTTAAGATAGACAAAAAGGCAACTGGCCATGTTCATACGATGTTGCTTCTCATTCTATCTTTTCATCCACTCGGGTTTTTATAATGGTCAACACTCAATACGATAGGATTTTGCCAAATTCAGATATTAAAGCAATAATATTCATTGAATTTCTGTCCCTAAAGATTTCCAATTTTCTATGGTTGATGAACACCGTGAATGGTAAGTACCTTGTCATTTACACGTCGGTTCCTTGCACCTAAAAGCTTTTCTTAATTAATAATGTAACTCGAAGTACTACACTGCGTTACAACGTCCATTAGTAAGGAAGTTAATTATTATTAATATTGATTAGTAATAATACAACAAAAGATTCAAGTTCAATTTCCTGTGATAATTATCTATTAACTTTATTGGTTTGAGTTAATTAGTCATAGATAATTTAAACTGATTAATGTATGAATAGTTCTTTTTGAACTAGAGACACAAAACGGATTTCACCTAAAACGCACCGTTAAGTATCAGCGACATATACTTTCTCGTAAGTCAAATTAGTGAAAATACAACCACCCTCATAGCGTGCAAACCACATTAAAGAATCATTTTACTTTATCCATTTTCATCTCCCATTCATTTTTATCATTACTTTAATTGACCATTGATAAATTTTGTTGTACATAATTTATACTAATTAATGTGTTAGTTGTCAAATCAAACCAATTTATAGTCGTCACGGAAGTTAGAATATCCCAACAATGTCATTTACACCCTTGACAAGAAATGGTAGCGAGTGATGTATAATGTTCCCAAAATTTCCAATCCTCCCGGAGCATTTAACATAAATCATGTGCCCACAATTCAAGAAGGGATTGAAGTTGATAGGCCGCTGTATGTATGAATGCATTGGTGGTGTGAGGGTGGGGTGGCCGGGTGGGTGGGTCCATCTACCTCCATCAGCCAATAAAATAAAATAAGATTATATTGTTCCTGATATTAGCATAGTGGTTGAATCAACTGAGCTCAGGAAGCCAGGTTAAGGCGTCGACTTACCTGACCTCCTCGAGTCATGACTGGAGGTTGCAGGGTGGGATTTGAATCTCACCTCAAACCTCATTGAAGTTTGACTTTCCAGATTGGGGTAGGGTGTGGGTTGGGCTCCTTGTGTGTATAGTAAGATGAGATACTAACTGAAATGTTATTCATGTGACTCGAATTTACATCATCTAGTGACTATTGAGCGAACAAAAAAATAAAGAAAGATTATTTATTATTTAAAAGTCCCTCGGAGCTCATGTCCTGAAGACCGGTTGTGTCTCAATTAACCTATATCTTCTAAGTGTTTGTAAACTAACGTCTACAACAAAGTCAAATTTTTTGGTCAAGCCATGAGATGCCCTAAGCATGCCCTAACTGTAAGTGGCACTTTTAAGTCCATACCATACTCAGACTAATCCACATTCATACTGGGTCAACCCAATTAAAAGGCAACGTACTAGTCAGATTGATTTTTCCATACAAAATGAGGTTCGAACTCCCGACTTTTTTTAAGGAATGAAAATGCACGACCACTCACGCCGACCAAGTTGATTAAGAAAATCAAATTCATGACCAATCCTTTTTAGTCATTGGTGAGATTCGTGTCCCGGACAAGGCGGATTATTTATGTATTTATTAGTGGTATTTGATATTGAGGGTGTGCAGTCTGAACCAGGCTATGGGTTCAGAGCAAGTGGAGAAGTGGGTATGGACTTTAAAGCACATGCCCGCAGCTCTTTCATCATCTCTGCAATCTCATCTGCAAAACCACATCCATCCTTTTGTTGCTTTGCCCATCTCATATCATCACCAAAAATATCTTCAAATATTGAGTGTTGGGTAACCCCCAAATCATTATACCGTGAAACCGTAGATCATGATTTACTTTGTAAAGTGGATTATATTCGTCTATTTTTAATATACTGAACATTTATTTTTATTTGACAATGTTGCTTTACTTATTTCAGCTTGAACAAAGTTGTTCCCTCTCATTGTCAATTCCTTTACTTCACCCACCAAACTTGTGCAAAAATCATACGCCTTTAATTCCCACGAAATATACAAACTTCTTCTTTATCAAATATTGAATTTTTTTCCCCTCGAGATACAACTTAATTGATTTACCAAATCAAAATGATTTCATAAATTTTGTTTTGCTAGCAGCCACTGACTATAGAATCCAAAAAATAGAAGTATGGATTTCACATTTTTGTAGATACTACTGTACAAGCATTGAGGGTGCCTAGAAGGTTTTTTTTTTTTTTTTTGAAACCCACAAACAATTGCATTCATCAAAGTAAATCAGAAATACAACTGGTGGGAATCATATCCCACACCCCAAGAACAGAAGATGAAACAGTCGCTCGCGCAAAAATTAAACGTGAACAACCTGGGTCGCTGACCTTCTAACATGGATAACGATAATGTCACCAATGTCATTAGCAATAACATGACATATGATTCTTACGGTAATTAGGATACATTCTACCAATTTATCCCATCCACCAGTCTTTAGGGCCGGAGCGGTGAAGGCCCTTAGAATTCAAACTTGTAAATATTGCATGCTTTATCCTAATTTGGGCTTAGTGGTCCAAATTATTCTTTCTTATTCTACTATATATAGTCAATACATACTATATGATGGAAGCTACCGAAAGTGGATTTGGGCCGGAAAGCCCATAGACTCAACAATGGTGTTCACTTGATCCAAATAATGGCTTGTTAGAAGATTGGGCGTCATCAACCCAATTCCACAACAATGAATGGCTTGGCCCAATAGTTTACATGAATAGGACCCAAATATTGGTTTGAATTTTTATTTTTCTAATTTTATTTTATTAATATTATATATAAATTATGTCAAATCGTCTTCACATTAATATCAAGTAATTGCCACAACATAATAATAGTATACATGAAAATCTAGTGAGCATCAAATTATCATTATCCTACAGAATACTTAAAAGTAAGCTTCAATTTCACTTTCTTTTACCGATTTAAATGGATTTCAATGAAGATTTTTTTAGTTAAACTCAATTACACTATTTGATTCACTTAATTTTTTTTGGGGGGGGGGGGCGGGGATCCTAGTTGAGCTTTGTTGCATTGGTAAAGGATGATCCGGTTACCGGTAAAGGTTGTGCCGGTGGGGCCCGGAACCCCAAGCCCTCATTACTCCAAATGATGTTTGCATTAAAAGCTGTAAAAGGTCAACTCTACCTCACCGGCCCCACCAGAAATACCCATAATCACAAGATTAGATCTCGGCCACCCACTTGTGCCTGTGCTGTACCAAGCTCTAATTTTTTTCCCCACATACAAAATTCTAGTGTACTCCTTACTATCTAATGTAAGATGTTATAAAATATGACTTAACTCACGGATTGAATATATAGTATTTGTGATTAGAAGGGAAAAGAGGTTAAAAATAAATTACGGAGTGCTTTTTATTTTGATAAATTTACTCTACCTATAAAATTATAATGTTACTGATAATGATAGTGTAAATTAGACTACAATAGAAGTCTAAACTTACGGTATATTAAAGAATTAATATATAGAATAATTGTTTCATATCATTACTTACAAAAATAATTGATTAAGGGTAACAATAAAATTCAAATCAATTTATAGTAATAAACTAATACAAGTTTTGCTATAATGTAAGAAATGATTTAAGATACAAGGAAGCGATCTTGTTTATATTGAAGTTCACTCTAAAAAAAAAAAAAAAAGTGAAATTGAGATTCAAATTATATTTGGTAGACACATATAGTTTGTCGGTTGTCTTACTAGACAGCTACAAGAGCCTATTTTTACAGCGTGGCAAGTATAAGGTAGTCTAATCTAATATGCTCAAAGTAAGTCCGCCCATTAATTTATTTATTACACAAACATGATTAATCTAGTCTTTCAAAATGTAGATTTCTTGAACTTAATTTGTTAATTTTTATGTTCTAAAGGAACCTGATTCATTATTCTATTATTTGAATAATCGGATCATTTAAATTGCCTTATAACTCTGTAAAATAAATACGGAGTATATAAATATTGAGCAACTTTCTTTTGTTGTGGGCAAGAAATAAATTTAGTTGATTTAAAGGTGAGATTTTTACGGCAAAGTTAGTTCACTAACCCACCTCTCCCGGTTACCCGTTAGTTCAAATTAAAGATGTTTGGTCAATTGCCGTTTACTTTTTCTTTCTATCTGAACCTTCCACGTGGAGCCTTCGCATTGGGTCCGTAGTTTGAGGGTAATAAAGTCAGAATGGACAACCCTTTCGAAAATGAATAAAATAACAAAAGAGAAAATAAGTTTGACTCTCAGACACCCTTCTTTTCTCTCTCCTCTGCTTTTTCCCATTATATATATTCTCCGGCACCGTTCGCCAATTTCAGCTTCTTCTTCTTCTTCTTCAGTTCTCTGGTTTTTTGAGTGTTGTGATTTCTAGGGTTTTGAGATTGGAGATGGCGGTGGAGTTGATGAGTGGTTTCAGAAGCGAGAGTTTGGGCGGCAAGATGGAGGAAAACGCCGTCCAGGAGGCGGCCACCGCCGGCCTTCAGAGCGTCGAGAAGCTCATCAGATTGATTTCTCAGTCTCAGCAACAAAACAGTAGCTTTTCTGCTGCTCCGCCGTTGCCGGCGTTCTCCGCCGATTACCAGGCGGAGGCGGACGCCGCCGTCACGAAATTTAAGAAGTTTATTTCCTTGCTCGACCGGTCCCGGACCGGACATGCCCGGTTCCGGAGAGGGCCGGTTGTGAATCAGAAGAGGGAAGTAGTAGATCCGGTGGTTAATCAGAACTCGAGTAGCCGGATCCGGGTCAGCGAAGAACCCGAGAAGAAAATCTATCACCCGAAGCCGATTCAGAGTCTGCCGCCGCTCCCGCATCACCACCACCACCAGCCGGCGAAGACATCGTCGGCGGCGAATACAATCGAACGGAAAGAGCCGTCGACCACCATCAGTTTCGCCGCAATGGCGGCCCCATCTCCGGCGGGCTCTTTCATCTCATCTCTCACCGGCGACACAGACAGCGTTCAGCCGTCTCTCTCCTCCGGCTTCCAGATCACCAATCTGTCCCAAGTTTCCTCCGCCGGCAAACCGCCGCTCTCAACCTCGTCCTTCAAACGCAAGTCCAGTTCCATCGACGACGCCGCCGTTAAGTGCAGCAGCGCCGGCGGTTCCGCCTCCGGCCGCTGCCATTGCCCCAAGAAAAGGTAAAAGTCAACGCCACAGAAACAATCTCTTTTTAATTTCTTCAGAATCTTAAAACTAACTGGCTTTGATTCAACAGGAAAACAAGGGTGAAACGAGTGGTCAGAGTCCCGGCAATCAGCCTGAAAATGGCCGATATTCCCCCAGATGATTATTCATGGAGAAAATACGGCCAGAAACCAATCAAAGGCTCTCCACATCCTAGGTAAATTTCTCGAAACAATTAAAGCATGTGTTCCATCTTAATTAAAAGCCTAATCTGATAGTTGGATTACACATAGTTATATGCTCAACAGAATCAGTACACACAGTTCTTCTTAGATTAAACTTTCTTTTCGATTTTCAGGGGATATTACAAGTGCAGTAGTATAAGAGGATGCCCGGCGAGAAAACATGTGGAGAGAGCATTGGACGATCCAACGATGTTGATTGTAACCTACGAGGGAGATCACAGCCATTCACGCTCCATCACGGAGGCACCATCTGCGTTAATACTGGAGTCATGTTAGCCCTACGATCTTCATCCGACGGTCCAGATCGTTCTCCCAAACCCCAACCCAATCACCGCCGTTGAAGTTGCCAGATGAAAAAGGACAAACAAAGATGCCCCCGAGTTGGTCAACGCCTGGCGCATTAGATTCCCATAGAAAACCGGGAAAGTGCCCGGTGGGGGCTCCCCCGATGGGGCCCACATAAGAAAATTTGTTTATATTCATGATTTGTTCCCCTCTGTTTATTCGCCGTTGAAATCTTTTGATTCTGCGTGGAAAAAGCAAAAGCAAACAAGATGTATATTGTGGATTTGGTGGGAATTGAATCATGCAAGTTGTGGATGTTTCTTCCTTATTTATTTATTTTTTTTTATAAACAAATTATATTCTGAACTTCATGAACCAACTGCTAAATCGAATTAATCTAATTTTAAGACGTCTTATCTGCATATAGAGCCTAACCCAAATTCAAATTCCAATTGTTTGTGATAGAAATCGAACATTCGTTTTATCATTAAAAACAAGTCTTAACAGGGCGTTTGGTTGGAGGGATTTTAAATTCCCTTCCCACTTAATTCCCACCTAATTCCAAAGGCCATTAAATTCCGTAGTTTGGTTGGAGGGAATTGCAATTTTGGAGGGAATTGCAATTACATGGAATTGCAATTCCCCCATTTTCATGGAATTAAAATCCCATGTCCCCCCTGGTATTTTAATTCCTGAGAAAAAAAGATAGTGATGAGTCAAAATTACCCCTTCCTTTTTAACCTAAAATTAATGTCTAACAACAATAATGGACATTTTTGACTTTATACTACTTATTCCCTTTCAATTCCCATGTATACCAAACATTGGAATTAAAATTCCCAGTAATTCTATTCCTGTCAATCAAACACTGAAATTTAAATTACCACTTTATTCCCAGTAATTCAACTCCCATGGAATTACAATTCCTTTCCCACATAATTCCCCCCTCCAACCAAACGCCATGTAAGTAATACTTCTCATTCACTTTTTTTCTCATTTTCAACCTTATTATATACAATATACAACCCAATGTTGTATAAAATAAGGTTTGGTTCTCTCTTTCCATTATTTTAATGATGTTGGTTCATGCATAGAAGTCCACTTATTCCACTTTCCACCCAATTTCGCATCAGCACTCCTGCTAAAATCAAGATTATATTAAGCAGTCAATGGAGAATATAATTAAATAATCATCCAGTTGGTATGGTAGTAGTTTAATCAAAACACATCTTAAGTGGGGCGTTGATGATTCGAAGATAGTAGTTGAAACTTTTTTGTTGTGGAGTGTGATTAGTATTCGTTTGTTGATCAAATGGGTTTTTAATATAATATATAATTGAGGAGATTAAGAATCTTGAGATTATGTTTACATTTGAGATTAGCATGGAAAATGGGAGATTTTTTTTGTTTAGTGATTAGTGTTTGAAAACCCACTCATGGAGATCGGACATTGGAGCACAAATTGGGCAAGTAGATTCGAGAAGTCAACGGCTTCAATTCAACACTAGTTAGTAAGTTTGGTGATAATTTGGGTGGACTTTATATATATATATATATATATATATATATATATATATATATATATATATATATATATATATATATATATATATATTGGTTCGGTGAGAATAGGTATTCCTGTGCGGTCAGTGCGGCATACACCATTAGGTATACATAAATACATAAATGCACCAGACAGTGTTCGAACACTGTGTGGTACATTTATGCATATACCTAATGGTGTATGCCGCACTGACCGCACAGGAAGACCTGTTCTCACAGGAACTTGACCCTATATATATATATATATATATATATATATATATATATATATATATATATACACACACACACTCCGTAATTATTACAAATTTTTAATTTGTAATATTTATAAAATTGATCCTACTCTATTTTTTTTCTTGATTTATCAGCAACCTCAATCATTAATCTACACAAATAGATTGATCATATTAATTCTCATGTTTTGCTAATTGGGAACATGCTCCCACCTCAACCTTCCCCTATATATGTTTATTATGATGATTTTTTTCTCATGGTAGACACCTATCAATTTAAAAGAAGAAAAAAAAAAAAAAAAAAAAAAGAGAGAAGAAGATAATTCTAATTAACATTTTTGCACCTTGTCTAATTGTACTAGAACTGAAGATTTAAGGTTATTTCATTGCCAAAGCCGAGGATCAAACACTTGACTTTTAATTAAGAGTGGATGGATCTCTTCAACTCAATCACACCCTCTAGATTAATAGTTACCTTTATGTCAATAACATACGCATATAATAATTTCAACACACATATAGTTTGAATCTACAAAAAGATAATAATAATAATAATAATAATAATAATAATAATAATAATAATAATAATAATAATAATAAAATAAAATAAAAAGTAAACGTGAATAATAAATTGAGTATTATAACCAACATATCTTTTTTAGTGCATACAAACTATGCAAGAATAACGTAGACTTCAATTATTATGCTCTGCATATATATAATCAAGTCAATTATAACTTTTTATATACACAAGTTGAAATATAAAATTTTGCACGTTAGTAACGTAGTATCTTGGTATGATACGATTACGAATCATTTATTTTTACCCATAGCTGTTGGCTTATTGTTTAATGGGTTGAAAAATAAGTTTCAAAATTTTATTCAAATAAATAAATATTTTTTATGGCGACAAGAAAAATTCATAGCGACTAATAATGGTGTGTATGTGAGTTATAACTGGGAAGTCATATAAAAGAGGTAAATTCTATTATTAAAATTTTATGTGACAAATTTGATCGAATATATATTAAAATAATTAAACTCGTGACTTTAAATAAAGAATTACGTTTGAATCACATAAATATCACTTTTGAAAAATAAATAATTAATTTGATTACATAACACGTTGAAGTTAAGGTAGAATAAGGTTTCTAGTTTCTAGATGGCGTATAGTAGGTGGCATAAGGTTTCTAGATTAGTCTCTTGTAGGCCGCAGCGTTGCTTTCATAAATAATTACGTATTGGAAGAAAAATGTGAAGGGTGGCCAATGCATTAATTTGACCATTTGAATATTTTGGAGGAGGAGAAATACAAAAATCTTTGTTGCAAAAAAAATAAAAATAAAAAAATCTTATTTTAAAATGTATCATTTTTAAACAAGTTTACATGATGAATTTATATTGAAGTCATTCAATTCAAACTAATGTTAAAAGACATTCAGAAGAAGTTATAACACGTGGGATAATTCACAAGAATCATTCTGGTGAATCCCAACTCTAAGGGCCCACCATATTTCGGCCCGACAGAGTATTCACAACTAAGGGTCTGTTTGTAAAGCGGGAAAATGACTTCTGGAAAATGTTTTTTGGAAAATGAGTTATTTTTCGGAAAATATTTTCCTTTCCAGTGTTTGGTTGCATTCTGAAAAACTGTTTTTGTGTGTTTGGTTCATTTTCTGGAAAATGAGTAGAATTGTATAATTAAACATTTTAATTATTTTATTTAGAATATTACAACATGTATAATAATATATAATATAATAATAATAATTTTAAATATAATAAAAAATAACTAATAATATATCAAAAATATTATGGTGGTGGTGGTGTTATTTGTTATATAATAATAATAATAATAATAATAATAATAATAATAATAATAATAATAATGAACAGATACTACAATGTAATAGGGCCAGTAACATTCAAAAAAAAAAAAAATAATAATAATAATAATAATAATAATAACTGGTGGTGGTATGACGGTGGTGGCAGTGGTGGTGGTGTGGTGGCGGTGGTTGCGGTGGTATGGTGGTGGTGGCGGCGGTGGTTGCGGTGGTATGGTCGTGGCGGTGGCGATGGCGGCGGCGGCGGCGGTGGTGTGATGGTGGTTGCGGTGGTATGGTAATAGTGGCGGCGGCGGTGGTGGTGGCGGCAACGGTGGCTGCGGCGGCGGCGATGGTAGTAGTGGTGGTGGTTGCGGTGGTATGGTGGTGGTGGTGGTGGTAGTGGTGGTGGTGGTATGGTGTTGGTGGTGGTGGTAGTGGTGGTGGTAGTGTGGTGGCGGTGGTTGCGGTGGTATAGTGGTGGCGGCGACGGTGGCGGCAATAGTGGTGGTGATGGTGGTAGTGAGGTGGTGGTGGAATGGTGCTGTGATGTTGGTGTAAAAGTTGGAAAATGACTTCCCCAAAGAAAAGGGAAAGTCATTTTCCTCCAAAAACATGTCTATTTTCCAAAGTCAACGGAAAATGATTTTCGTTGACTTGATTTTCTAGGCACATCCAAACAATGAAAACTTGAAAAATGATTTCCAAAACTCATTTATCAGGTTTCCAAACACACCCTAAGTTTTATATGGCTTTGTGGGTTTCAATTTTGAGCAAGTATTAGGATTAGCTTGACAACTAAGTTTTAGGTTATTTATCATAATTTATAGATGTGTTTGAATAGAAAGCAATAACTATTGATCATTCTATCAACTCCAACTCCACCAATTGGCAAATTATTGTATGGACGATAACAAAAAGTACATTTTTAATATATTAAAAATACGTTATTCGTGTACTGGATGTACATTATATAAAATAATATATTTTTCATAAATATAATATACATTTTTAATATACTAAAAGTACATTATTTGTATACTGAATGTACATTATTTGATAATATGGACCACATAGTTGTAATAATTGACTCCAATTGGCAAATTATATCGTGCATCGCGATGCATAATCGATTATGCACCGCGCATCAAAACGATGTCGTTTTATTTAATGAGAAGAAACGCCATATGTTTCGCGCCGTTCCGCGCCATTCCAAAAAAAGTAACTCTGTTATTCAGTTTCATTTTGTATACACTGTAGTTTCATTTCGATATAATTACAGTTTCATTTCGATATAACTACAGTTTCATTCGATGTTATAACACCCAAATATGTGAAATGTTATTTAATTTTAATTTATATACAACATAGTTTCATTAAAACACAATTACATGATCATTTCGATATTACTACAACTTTATTACACAATATACACTAAAAAATGTGAAATGTTATTCAGTTTCATTTTATATACACTGCAGTTCCATTTCAACACACATACAGTTTCATTTCAATTCAATTGTAGTTTCAGTTGATAATATAATACGTGATACGTGAGACACTGTCAGTTTAAATACACTGTAATTTCATTTCAACATAAGTACAATTTCACTTCAATTGAATTACAGTATCAGTTGATAATATATAAAATAATATGTGAGGCAGAATCGATTTAGATACACTGTGGTATCAGTTGATAATTAATACACTAAATATGCACGCTCCGTTAATTGTAATGGCACGCCGTTTTGACCGCGGTCCACGATATAGCGACTAACTCCAATTGGTTTGGATTTAGACAGGCCCATTAACCTTAAAGAAACCATATTTGGATCGGGCCACGATGCAGAATTCCACCATGTTCCGTCAACTACCGGTCCACCAGGAGCACTCGACCGGGGACTGAGAATTGGGTGAAGAGCGAAGGTCAGATAAACGTCGGGAGAAGAAATTGATAGAAGCAATTAGATCTCTAAAGAAATCGTTTTTTTTATTTTATTTTATTTTATTTGATTCTTTTTTGCGATAATCTTGTACTGGCATCGTCCGATAAAACACACCTAAGCGTCGGAACCGGAGAGTGAAATGCCATGGATGTTTCGGATGCTGACATGATGGAGGCGGAGCACACGGCGGCGCAACATTCTCCTCCACCGCAAGGGCTGCCGTCCAATTCAGACCACGAGGAGGCTGTCAGAAATTTGCTCGCAATGGCTCGCCAACTTATCGATCAAAACAAGCCTTCACAAGCCCTCCAAGCGGTACATCTTTCTCTCCTCTTCATTTTCATTTTCAATTTTCCTCTTTTTAATTCTTTTACGAATGTGTTCCTCCTGAAACTCACTCATCTGCAGTTTTTCTCTCTTTTAAATTTATTTCAAAAGAAAAACTGATATTAAGTGGAGGAGCTAGCTTACAGAGAAACCCTTTTGAGTTTGAAGCATTAATGCATAAACAAATTGATGGATTTCTTTTTGCTGTCCAATTTGCTGGAAACTAGCAAAGATAGCAACTTTCTTCACCATGAATATGAGTTTTATAGGTATAGCCTGAGCATATAGCCATTAATGTGCAATCCAACTATCACCTTAGGCTTTTAGTTGAGATAAAGCACACGCTTCAATTTGGTGGTATCAGAGCCAGACCAAAGGTTCGAATCTTAGCGTCAGTGACTACGGTCCACGTGTTGCTTGGAACCCACCGCAGAGGGGCGTGTTGCATATATAGTAATGTGCAATCCAACTATCAACTTAGGCTTTTAGTTGAGATGGAGCACATGCTTCAATTTAGCCCAATGTTTATGAGCTCTGTAGTGTAGAAAACCTAGGAAATAAGTTTTAGCTACAAGGATCACATTTGGCATACTCACCCAATAATTGATCCTTTAGGTTATAAATGATGGAAGGAAACCTTACAGTTAATTGTAATTGGTAAGGTGTTAATGGCTTCATGGTGAGGCTCTATGCAGTTTAAGTAAAGACAATTATGATTTATGGATACTAACGAAAACTCAAAACTAAAAACAACTGTATTGTTTGCAAACATTATGAAATAAAAACTGCTACCTATGTGCTTTGTATTTGTTGTCTAAATCATGATCACGGAGTGGATTGAGGAAACAATGAAGATGATCAACAAAATGATTGGAAATATAGCGAGGGACTTTCTTCATCCCGCTTTCACTGTTAGACTCTCATATGAACGATGAAATTTAGGCAGTCATCTCTCCATTGAACAGTTCCTTTTGTCATTATGACCAGACAAATTATATTCATCTCCGTGGTTGCTTACCTTAGATTTCCATCTTTTAAAAAAATTATTTTTAGGTTATAAATTCAAAAGAATCCAAGTTATCAATTACTCCGTACTAGTTTAACTTTGAGGTAACTTGCTAGAAAGACTTAATTGCATATTTTTACAAGTTTGAGTGTTAATTGGAAGGTCTATTTGACTCTTATACTGGACATTTTGATTATTTACACTGGCATTAACAAATACTCCGTAGTTTTTTTCATGAAATACAACGCATCATAAAGGTTTTGCTCTGCCTTTCTTTGTTCTCACTATAAATTATGGCTTAGCAGTGACACAAAACCTGTCTGGTTAACAGGTGGTGATGGCAATGAGAACTAGAGGCGGGGAGGAGGCTGTATGTCAAGTGCTTAGTCGTGCCCGTGAACTGTACAGTAACAAAGTGCAGGCAAGTGCAGCCGCAGATGAACTGGCTTCACTGTTTGCTGAGTGTGCAATTGCCGAGGCCATACCCCCTAGACCTGGCTCATCTGAAAGTAACAAGATGGACCGCCCTACTGAACTTGAGTTACATGGAAATTCAATATTAATGGAGACGGGTCGAAAACAAGTTATGCTGGATGCACTGTCTGATGGAAGTAGTTTCATCTGCCTACAGTGTGGGGGTCTGGTTAACTCCCACAGGAGAGAAGAACATTACTCATTGTGGTGTTTATAAAATCTGAATTAAGGTTGTGTCCCTATGTTAGTGTGAGTAATGGCATGTAGTTCTTAGTGATTGACTTTCAATACTAGTTTTTTTCTTTCTAAAAGCTATCTTAGAAGAATTGTCTGATCCATAATTGACTTTATACCTTTGTGCACCTATCTAGACTTTTTAGTTTTTACTTTTAAAATTTTTTAATTTCACGGAAAAGTCCGCATGTATACTTTGGGTGAAACTCACTTGTAACTCTAACCGGCAAATGACCATGAGAAGGTAAACCAGTTTAGGTTGTCCAGAGTTAATAAGTTTAAATCAAGAAGATTAATAGACAGTTTCCATAAACAGATGAACTTGGCTATGTTCCATGAAATGAGTCTTTTATTATATTTTCCTTTAGCACTATATGCATAACAAAGAGCCAGTAAAGAAAATAGTTGCATCTGCAGAGAACACTTCAGAACTCATTTTCTTATTTTTACTAAAACCAATACTGTGCTTACACACTCACTATACACAAATTGTTACCAAAAACAAATCAAAAGAATGAAAATAGAGGAAAAAAAGAGCCTCTTGACATTGCTGTGACCTAAGAATATCCTATTATCATACCAAAATCTATACACATCTGCCATTTCCTTCTTATCTGAAAATCTAGCAGGCATCAGTCAATCAGACATTTCAAATCCTTTTTATCTTAGATCTCATGTGCAGTTGTTTGATTACTCTGGTGGCTTTGTGAACCAACACAACATATTCACAAGATGTTTTGATGATTATCTAAGATAAAAAATTCTCGTCCCCTAAAATACGGTTCTTCCATTACAGCTGAAACAAACTCCCCCTGCTGCTTCCACCGACTACAACGCAACCTGCAGATTACCAAACCCACCATCATCATAGGCTTTTCGAGAAGTGAATGTGATAAAAGGCTTAAAAGTTTTTATCTTTTACCTTCTCTTATTTCGGAGCACTTCCTTTACCATGTATCGGGAGAACAGAGGTCAAATTGGGAATGTACATTCCTCACACTCTAGCTAATGACCATTTCTAGCTGAGATATTAGGTAGGGAATGTCCATAAGGCTTTGTCCGCATGATTGTTTCATCGCTGTGTCTGATCCATTCAGAGAGTCTCCAAGGCTTCTGCCATTTCCATTTAAACTGTAATAGCCACTGGTGATGACTTCTCTTCCACCTCCAAAGCTTCCCGCCTTGCCCTACAATCGCTAATTTCTTCATCGATAACTGTCCCATTGCCATTGGCACCATCTGCTATTCCAAAAGTATAGCGTTAAGGACCACAAAAAAGGTGCCACAAGAAAAAAGGACAGCCAAGGACCTTGTGGTCCAGTGACACCAAGTTGCTTTCCCATATGGGAGGCTGTGGGTTCGAGCCTCAGTGGAGGCGATATTGACTCTTTGTGCTTCAGTAGGGTGAGAAAGTAGTTATGAACAGATACTACATTGTAACAGAGTCAGTAGTACTCAAAAAAATAAAAAAGGACACAAAATATGCCATAAAAAGTGTAAGATCGATCAACCTTCCGGGCTTGATCTACAAAGGCCGCTGATTCTCTGATCGAAGCATTAGCAATCCCGGGTGTGTATTTGAGCTGTTTCTGTGCAGGCACGGGTATTGGAGACAAGGGACTGCTCATTTCATTGGCTAAGTGCTTGTTCGAGTTCCCCTGCTATATCAGCGACATTATAATTAAATTAAACAGAAAGACTAAAGATTTCCGTCAAATACAACAAAGAGAGCATATAAAATCCTACCGAAGCTGAAGTTGCCAACGCAATCGCAACAGTTTGGTCTCTCATCTTCAGCTCCTTCTCGATGTCCTTTCTTCGAATTTCGCTCTCTTGTAATACATTGATAAGCTCTTTCATCTGCTCTTTCAGCTCCTTCGTTTCGAGTTCCTTCTCCCAAAGTTGGCACCTTGCATCCGCTAGAGAGTTGAACATATATTGAAGCAAGTTTTTTGCGTCGCCCATCGAGCGTAGTTGGTTCCAACGCCCACGGTTGCTGAAGCCACGCTCTCGCTCTTCTGCTTCCGAGAGCTGTGAGGCCATTGCAACTAGAGAGTTCGACGAAATGCTTAGCATGTTCTCGAGAGAAGCCATCCTTGCCATTCTGGCATTTGGAGACATCGAAGATGCTCTGAACATAAGCAATAAAATAGTTTAAAGATATAGATTTACGTAAGGAATCTCGGATAAAAGTCAAATCTTTTATAATCTCCGCACCTAGAGAAACCATTTTTTCCTCTTGGAGGGCTAAGCCCTTTCAAGGCAAATTCATCAACTTGTCTCAAAACAGCTAGTTCCTCAGCCAATGCAGCTCTCCTGAGAACGAGCCAAAGCAAATAAAAATGGGTAAACCCGAACAACAATAATAAAAAAGAAAATAACTTTATATCATCGAAGTTAATTTAGGTTACTTACACTTGGCTCTGCTTCTCATACTCGTAACGAACTTCATGAACATTGACCATTAGTTCAAGCTCATTGTCAAGCCAACGCTGTAAGGACTTCTCATTGCTCTGAGTGCAAACCATAGTAGTATAATACTCAGAAGACGTAGATTTGAACATAAAAAATAATAATAGAGAAAAAGTAGATATTGTGTTACCTGTCCATTTGCTACATTTCCATTGTTACTCACTGTATTATCCCAAAAAAAAAAAAAAAAGATAAAAAAGATAAAAGGAAACATAAGCAACAAGAAGAAAGCAATGAATGAAAAGGAATAAATTACGGAGTATTTTGTCACTGGTAAAAGGAATTAATGTAAAACTCAAAGGAAGGCAAACCTGAGTTTTCCCGAGCTGAAGATTTTCGTGCTTCAAGCAATTCTTTCAGCCTCTTGGTAGCCATTGCAGCCTCCTCTGTCTTTCTTTGAAGAACCTGAAATACATTTGTTTAGACATGAAATAAATGATACCATTCAGGAATTTAGTTACCAAGAGTTCCTGTCATTTGTATGCTATGTAAAGGTCAAAACTTTCATGCTACACAATATCTTCATGATTGAATGTAATAATATATGATGAGATCAATTACACTGTTCCACAAATAAATGTTAATAAATTACGCTGTTCTGATTTTCGCCAAAGAGATCAATTGTCTCCTTATATCAGATTTACTGTCCAGAGTTTCTAATCATATGAACTAATAAAAGTGCATAGATACAAAGGGAAGGAAATTATCACCATCTTCTGGCGTTGATTCAGAGCTTGCAGTTTATGCCTCTCATATTCATTCCTTCTTCCCTCCTTCCTTAGCTGCACACATTATGGATCAAGTACACATTACAAATTAGTAAACCCATAAAATCAAATGTCGCAAGTAGAAGGATGATGTAAAAAGCACACATATCCTACCTGCAACAATTCCTTTTCTCGAGATGCCTTCCATTGACGGAATTGTTCAGCTTCTTGTTTAATCTTGTGTTGCAATTGGACCTAGGACAGCAGAATATAAGAAGTGTCATATTCATTTACTCGAGAGATTTCTCATTGGATAGGAAAAACTAAATTGCAATCCCACCTTCTGTGACTTGATGGATTGTATTTCATCCTGTAATTTCTTTGCTGCTTCATCGCTCTTTTGTTTCTGCTTTAAAAGTTGAACCTGGCTCTCTTGTTTCTTCTTAAGGTCTTGTATCTGGAATAAACATAATACAAACATTCTTTCAGTCAAGAGAAAATGCAAAAATCTAATCTTTATCTTAGTTACCAGTAATCTACTACATGCCCTTTAAAGATAATGGTAATCTACCTGTGATTCAAGAGCTTTAAGTTTCTGGGAATGGATATCTTGCAACTTCTGTGCTTGTCCATCAGAATTAGCAGAAAGGTTTTCAACTTCAGCTAACAAGCGATCTCTATCTTGCTGTGTTAACAAGAAAGATGAAATCAGTCCCACAAACCACGGAAAAATGTATGTATATATGTGTATAGTTTCAGTACAACCTGCACAGCACGTTTCTCCTCTTCAAGTTCCAGTATCTTCTTTCCAAAATGGTGTTTAAGAGCTGTTGTGTCAAACCCTCCATAAAGCTTCATCTCAGACTTTAAAGTTCGCAAACAAAGATACATACATTATATCAGCATATGCAATAAATAGATTCAGTAAGCACTGATGATGAACACAAATGCAATTAGAAATTCAAATTTCAAAGATACCTCTTTTTGTTCCAACTGTCTATTCAACTCATTTAATTCTTTGCCCAGAGAATCTTGCAGAAGAGTGTGTTCCCACTCTTTTGCTGCTTCTTCATCCATGTCTCCAAGATCGCCTGCTAGAGTTTCTAAAAACAGATTAATGAATAGCTAACGGAATCTGGATTGAAAAATTGAAATAATTTTCGGTTTTATCATACCATTCTCAGTCATTGGATAATCAGATGACTCCATACTTAGCAAACCCCTTTTAAGCCCTTCACTTTTTACTGGAAAGGTACCACGAACCTAAAAATAAAGATCGGTGCTTTAGAATGGGGCCATGGCAATAACTCCTAGTTTCTTAAAACTCGATTCATGGACACACAATGATTCGGGACATACTTTAGTGTCTATACCACATGGTTGAGTGGGAGCACATTTGCTCCGGTACTCGTGTAATTCTCTAATTAGCTCTTCATTAGTAGTTTCGAGCCAAGCAATCTTATCTTTAAGCGCCTGCACAAGCATTTATAAATTAAGACCTTTCCCCAAGTTAAACGTTCAGTATGAATGCTACACATACGAGCATACTTAAACATTATGGTATAAACAAATTTATGTACCTGAATTTCACCAGACGAAGCAGGTCCTCCTCGGGCACAAAGTTCTGCCTGTAAATACTCTAGCTGTTGGCGCATTTTCAACATCTCATTGGATACTGGATCTCTGTTAACCTGGATAACAAGTGAAAACAAAAAGAAGCTATTTACAGAACTGAATCAAGAAAAGCATACTGGAATCCAGCATTCATTACCCTTTCTGTAACTTTATAAGAGCATGAAGCAGAGCTAAACTAAAAATGGGTAATTGGCTTAAAAACTTACAACTGGCTTGTTCTGGATATTCCGAGCTCGATTTGCATACTTCAAAGTGTTGAGAGTTTCTTCAGCATTTATATCAGCTGGGCTAATGCATGCTGTAAAAGAGACACGCATTGAAAATTTATTCGTAAAGTA